TTCTATCTTAGTAGTGTTGAGAGATTTATCTTCTAGCTCACTAGTTTGGCTTCTATCTCTTCAATTCTACTCCTTTGCCCTTTCAGTGTATTGTCCATTTCTGATATTCTATTATTAATTGTTTGGACCTCTTTCTGTGGGTTTTGAATTGTTTCCAATGCTGAATCTATCTTTTTTTATTGTTTCTGTAGCACTTTCCTGATTTCTTCCTTATTTTTCTCAACTCCATTGCATAGTGTTTTGATACATTTTATAATAATTTTTCTGAATTCCTTCTCAGGTATTTCCAAAGCCTGCCCATCTTCTAGTATAGAGTGTAGGTCTACTTCTAGCTCATTTGCCTCAGTCACTTTATCTCATTTCTGGACATGTGCAGATATGGTCATCTGTTTCTGTTTTTTGGGCATACTCAGGAGTTATTTGTGGCCTTAATACTTAGATGGGTGTGTATTTTGGTATTTTTTATGCTTTCTGATTGCCTCCAAGTAGATGTGATCAGGAGAAGGGCTTCCCTTTTCACTCTTCTTCCTCAGAAATTTCAAGGTGCCACTGTTAGTTGTTGTGATGTAACTCAGGATGTAATTTTCAGCCTATTTCCTTTTTAGTCTGCCTGTTCCGCTCCACAATCCCCATTCAGGCATTTTTACTAAGCAATAAACAGTTCAGGGCCAGCTGTGGCCGTTTTGCAATGCCCTTTGGTTGTAAGTAGAAACTGTCACTTAAAATTTTGAGATCTGTGCGCATGCGTACTAGAACCCTCTGGGGGTGGGATGTCCAGTCGCTCCGGCATCCCCTTTAGTCACCAGAATGGAGGTGCACAGCCAGTGAGAGACCAATAAACAGATATAAAAAAGAGTGTCCACACCTTTATCTCCACGGTTCTGTTAGGCATCCGTGGCTGCTCTGATCCTTCCCCCGCTTGATCTCGCCCAAGATGGCAGCTCTGGGAGCAGCTGAGCATCTTGGATTAGAAAGCAATGGGTTTCTTGCTTCTGCTACAAATTCCCCTAGCTTTAAGCCTTCCAACCTTCTAAATATTCCTTTATATGTGGTTCAGAGTTCTGGCACCCTCCCCTGAGCCTGCTTGATCCAGTATTCTGTATTGTTGCTGATAGAGAGCCTCACTGCATGTCTGCCCTCCCTGCCATCTTTTTGTTCCTCTGGAGTCTTGTTTTTCACTAATGTCTTCGATGCAGCTTGGACTTCGTCTTTTAGTACTATTGTTTCTTACTTATATGGTACTACCACCTGAAATGGTTGAATGCTGACCAATTCTTTTTGGTACAGGGACTCTGAGTGTTCTTTTCATCTTCTTTTGATACTTCCTACATCAAGTCTTCATTCTTCTTTGTTCAGTGTCGAGCTTTCATGTGCATATGTTGTTGTTGTTGCTAAATGCTGTTGAGTTAGTTCCAACTCATAGAGACCCTATATAGAGTTTCTGAGGAGCAGCTGGTGGGTTTGAACTGCCAACCTTGGGGTCAGAAGTCCAGTACTTATCATATAGCACCACACCAGGACTCTATATTGCCCTTGTTATTGTTGTTGTTAAGTGCTGTTGAGTCAATTCCAACCCATAGCAACCCTGTATAGGGTTTCCAAGGAGCAGCTGGTGAGCTTGAATCACCAACCTTGCAGTTCAAGTGACTTTGCAGTCCGATGCATTAGCCTACAGCGCCACACTTAGAACCCTTCAATATTACAAGTCAGACTTGAATTTTTAATTCATTTGTTTCAGCTTGAGAAATGTTGAGCATGTTCTTCCCTTTTGGTTTTCTAACTTTAGGTCTTTGCACATTCCATTATAATACTTGACTTTGAAATTTTCTGTTCAGCTCTTTTACTTTGTCATTTCTTCCAGTCGCTTTAGGTACTTTAGTTCAAGAGCAAGTTTCAGAGTCTCTTCTGGCAGCCACTGTAGTTTTCTCTTTCTTTAATATCTTGTTAATGATCTTCTGTTGTCTTCTGTTATCCCACAACTCTTTAGGTCTTTTTTGGTCACTTAGGTCTTTTTTGGTCACAATAGTACTTTTTGGTAGACATGTGACTACCATAAAGCAGAATCAACTCAATGGCAACTGGTTTTATTGTTTTGCTTTGTTTTTTATCTAAAATCAAGATATGTTAGGCTTTCCAGGAACCACCCGAGGGTAGGAAGCAACAGGAAACAGATTCTCATTCTGAGCCTCCAAGCATGATTTCAGCCTCCAGAACTGTGACTGAATAAATTCCTGTTGTTCTCAGCCACCCAGTTTGTGGTACTCTTTTACAGCAGCTGCAGGAAATGAATATACCCCAGTACATGGTATGCCTTGTTGCTAGAGTGGAGCTGCAGTGAGCTTCCCAGTGACCAATGCAAAGAAACACCTTAGTTACTGCCTCTGAAAGATAAAAACCTACTTTCTGCTCATTCTAGGCTCTGAGGTCCCTCAATGGGCCCCTAGATCATTGACATTCATGCAATCAACCTGTATTTATGGCTGGGGAATGTATGTGCCATGTACCCTGGCAGGCTTCCTCAAATCTCTTCAGGAACTGATGGAATTTCGTTCACAGAGATTGCAGCTTAGCTGGTCTCAGGTCAATCTGGGATTGGTGCATAGTGGGGTGTCTTAACCAAGTGTAGTAAAATATTTGCATAGATTTATGGGGAATTTCAGCTTTCGTTCCTTTCCCCAGCTATAGGGCTAGCATTATAGCTATGGCCCCCCACTCAAGCGAACCCTGTTTAGTTTCGTGCTCTGCTATCACCATCGTGAAACTCCCAATAATATTGTCTTCAAACTCACGTTTTATAGGGGAAACCCAGTGAGACAATGAACCCCAGCCACACCCCTTGCCCTGGTACAGTTCCTTCCCTCACTGAATGGGACCAGCTTGTGTAACCAACAGGATACTGCAGAAATGTTTGCGTGTGACTTCCACTGCAAAATCAAAAAAGGCAGCCAGCTGCCGTCTTTCTGTGTTAGATCACTTGTTATGGGAAGGAAACCAGCTGCCACGTTTAAAAGCCTTCAGGCAGCACAGAGGAGTCCATATGAGGAGCATCAGAATAGTTCCACTGAGAGACATTGGGGGACGCCTCTGGTCCCAACCATGCCTTCAGAGGAGGACAGCTCCAGCAGCCGGTTGGACTGCCCTCATGGGAGTCCCCACATGAGAATCACCCAGCTAAGCCGCCCCCAAACTCTTGGCCCTCAGACACGGGGTGTTTGTTGCTCCCGGTGACTTGTTTAGGAGTCATTTGTTATGAGCTACAGAGAAGTAACACAGGCTGTCTACCTTGGAGCTCATGTCCTTGGTCAGCTGCTCCATGGACTTCTTCCAGTCTTCCTCATAGACGGTGAGCTTGAGCAGCATGCCACGCAATGTCTCGTTCAGCTCCAGCGCCACAGTCTCCAGGTCGACCCGGCTCGCTTTGCTTGCCAGGGCACTCTTGTCAGCTTTCTACAGAGAGAGGGGATTCAGGAGCCAAGGCTGCCGGCCTGGGAACAAGGGCAGGCTGGACTAAATTGGCCCTTTTGGTCAATTGTTTTTGTCTAATTCGGGACCCTGGAAGTCTAGCCTTGGTTTAAATTCAACTTTGAAGTGCATATTAGCTCAAACACTACCTTAAGATCTAAGTCTATGATGGAGAAGTTAGTATATATATTGTGTGTGGTGAAAAATATAGAATAAAACATTTGACAATTCAACAGTTTCTATTCTACAGGGACAATTTGACGGTACTGAGCACTCCCTCCCTGTAGTACTGCCCTACTCCCATCTTTTCTGGAATTATTCCCCCATTCACACAAATTCACTGCCTCCCTCTCACTCCTGGTAACCTCTAATAAGCTTTGTTTTCCATACATTTGCTTATTTCATATAAGTGAGATTGTGTAGTGTTGACACATGGTTAGTTTTTTGTTTTGTTTTGCTATTTTCCTATAGAGACCTCCTTATTAAGCCTTAACAGAATAAAGGCAAGACAAAGGCCGATCATCTCAGAATGAGGAGACTCATCAACACAAGGTTATGATGGAGTCCAATTCCTTCATGGCCATGGGGGCGAATTAAAGACGATGGAAAACAAAGGGATCATTGGGAAATCATTGTCACATGCAGGACTGCAGCTGTGGGCAAGGACCTGCACAGTGTGTAAACAATTGGAGATTTAAAAACATACAGGATTGGTTCTAGGGCTTAGACTACTTGGCTTCCTGTTAGTGGTGGGTTAGGACTCGGTCATGAAGCCCTGAGTCCTAGCGACTAGCACTCCAACCTTTAGAAGACAAGCATCTGCCAATCATTAAGGACACACCCAGTCGAGTCTCCAGAGGGCAAGACTGCCCTTCCATGGGTCATGATTTTTAAGTCCACATAACGAAAGTCACTGAGAACTGGAGTTGGTGGAACAATTTTTAAGAAGCATCTACAACTTTCCAATATGAGTAAAGGTTAAAAGGAAGGCTCTCTACCTGGTTTTGCCTGGACAGAATGCTTCCATTTCCTGGGTAGGAGACTCAAGGCTCAGCACCAGGGAGCAGGAAGCTAAAGGAATCTCTGGGTTTACTCACCTCTTTCAACTCATGCTCCAATGTGCTTTTATCCACCTTGCTCATTTCTAGCTTTTTAACCTGAGCCTGGAGAGTCTGAGAACAGAAGCGAAGGAGTATCAGAAACTTGTGGAGTGGGATGTCTAGCTCCACCTTCACTTGTCACATGCTAGGCAGGGACAGCGGGCTTTGTGGACAGTAGGAAGGAGAGCATGTTAGAAGGGCTGGGTTCACAGGGTTCCAGGGAAGGACACTGGGACTTGGGGCAAATTGTTCTGTTGAAGGTAGTACCATGGGAACTTTATTGTGCATGACTCCATGAAGGCCACATTTGTTGAACAATTTTGCTGAGTCTACCTGGTGTGGTACTGTGGGTTAATGTGCTGGAATGCAAGATTGATTTGAACCGCAAGGTTGGGGGTTCAAGCTCACCAGTCACTCCTCAGAAACCCTATACAGGTCAGAACTGACTCAACGGCACACAACAAAAACAACATCTGTTGGTTAGTCATTTTGTGTTATTGTGTTGCTGGAAATGATGCCACTAGTATTTAAAATACCAGCAGGGTCACCCATGATGAGTTTCAGCAGAGCTTCAAGAATAAGATAAACTAACAGGAAGATCTTGGTGATCTGCTTTTGAAATGTAGTCCAATGAAAACCTTACATACTCCTAAGCAGAAAAACAATGACAATTGAGATGGTGGCAGGGACAATGGCATAGAGAGACGGAGCAGTAGTGGACTCTAGGCTACCGACTGAGAAAAGCAGTGTGCCTGTGGGCAGGAGGCTAGCTTGCAAAATGTACCCTTTGGACATTTAAATGAATATATATTTACAATATGGTATGTGTACATAAAAAAAAAAAAAAAAGGCAATAGAGAGTCGCTTTAGGTACTTTAGTTCAAGAGCAAGTT